AAATTAATTGATTTTTGTCAGCATTGCGCATTGTCCTTTTTGTGTTTTTCGCTCAATTTCTAAATTGATTTTGTGCTCTGTTTCCATTACATAGATGCGTCGTACATATATGTGGGGATGACCGCATGTCACGGCGAAATTGTCAATTTGCAGCACCTCGTAATTAGTGGTCTGACCGGCGCTGGCAACTTTATTAGCCCGTTTCGGGGAACTGCCGAAAATGCGGCCAGCAATTAGTGCCTGAGGTTTAATAAAACACACGCACACACCAACACACACACACTCATGTAACTGTTGTAGTCCATTACGCACAAATTGCGAAAGGATACGCCGTTAGCAATTGAAAATATTTGCCTGACCATTTTGCGATAGTCTCTTTCCCTCTTTCTCTCTGTGTGTGTGTGTGTTGGGTTATTTTTATTGTGTTTGTTTCTGTTTACTCGGGCCCCCTCTATGGCGTATGCTGCTAGCTGCAACAGTCGTATGTGGCACAAACCAATTGACCCAAATTTAAACCAGTTCACAAATAGCTGCAAGCTGCTTGCACCGAGCACGCTGTCGCATGGGGCTGAGCTGTGGATCTAAAACTGGGCTCTGCCATCGGTATATGGATTGGTGATGGTAATCACACAAGCACACACACACACACACACACACACACACCTCCTGCTGCTGGCAAGTTGGGTGTGTTTGCCTGATTGCGGTTAATTGCATTACACACTTGATGGAGGTGTTATTAATTTCATTTCTTTGGCAAGTGCACGTAATGACATTTCGGCTCGCCTCGCCTCGCCTCGCTCCGCTACCTCCGTCTGTCCACTGTTTGACATACGTTTCATGCTCAATTAGCTGTGCGCAAACAGGTCTCGACTGCTTATTAATTTGCATTTGACAATTAAGCAAAAATAAACGGTTTCTGTTTGTGTTAGATCATATGGGTGCGATTCTGCTCCTTAACAAATTGAATTTCACAACAGTGCTTAATCCATTGGAAACGTATGCTTCGTTAGTTGGCCGAGTTAACTGTAATTACTGAACTACAATTGATCAAGTTGGGAATTTTATATTGCTTTGCCATGTAAGAGAAAACTTTGTCAGTCGCTTGGCTGAGAATATTTGTGCAGTTGTCTTATTAATTTAATTTAATTTTAATTGAAATATTTAATAGAAACATGTCCGACATATTGCACAGTTAATGAATTCGTTTTTACTATAAAATTAAATGAATCCGAGTTCGCTTAATGCTGATTTGTAAATGGAACAGAAAACTGTCGTCTCCACTGCGGTTATTTGCTTAACTTTCCGCTGTAATGCTCGCCCGCATGCAGACAAGTTTCATGCAGTTGCAGCGAGCGGTAAACAACATCAAACGCAGGCACACACAGCATTCTCTTATTTTGTTGTTGTTGTTGTAGTCCTTCGTTTTGGGCAGATGGCAAGCGCAAGCGGAACAAAAGGCAACAGTGGACTTGTCTGGCAAATGTTGTCGAAAAATTAGCGATTCAATGAAATGGGATTTTAAATGGCTGCAAACTTTTTAATGCGTCTACCGGCGTCCTGCACGTCGTCCTGCGCGCCGTCCTGCGCTTCGTCATCGTGCCCCTCGACATGTTTTAGTTTTTGTGTCTGGGGCGGCGCCACGGCCGGGTGCGCGACCCAGGACGCCGGCAAAGTTGTGCAACGCGAGTTTTTGCCACTTGCAGTTGCCAGTTGCAGCCGCCGCAAAAGTTTTTAAATTATGCGCACATTTGCCGCGCCTCGTTGCTGTTGCGTTCCTGCTGCTGCTGCTGCTGCTGCTCCTGCTGCTGCTTCTGTTTCTGTTGCCATGTTCTGGTTCTTGTTGCTGCTCGTCGGACGCGCCGGAAATGGTCTTTGGCCGAAAGTGTTACACGCAGCGTGCAGCCGGACGGATGGCGTGCGACAACGTCCCCGAAGTTGAAGCTGGGAATGGGAATGGGCATGGGCATGGAAGCTTGGGCAAAACTCTGCGCTGTGGTTGGGGCTGTGCAAACAAGTTGCCAGCAGTTGTTGCGCCACAAATTGCAGCGCTCTTTTGTGAGCGGCAAAGGGGTCGAGCGCAGACCGATGCACAACGAGCAATTGCTTTTCAGCTGGAATTTATGTATTTTTCCCATATCAATTTAGTTATTTATTATTTTTCTTTGCACTTAATGAAGAAAGTTTCTAATTACAAAAATCTTGTTTGTAGGACACGCAGTGCAGCTTGCTCTATGTGCAGCGCACACCGAGCATCTGTTCGTTCCTGAGCCTCAACGTGGTGCCACAGGGCGAGAGTGGCAGCAGCAGCAGCAGCAGCAGCAGCAGCAGTTCTACGACTAGTACAACAACCAGCAGCCCCATCAGCACGCATGCAACGCCAATGGGTAAGATTGAAGAAGCAGTAACCACTGCAGCTTCCACCGTAAAGGCAGCCATTGCTAGCCCATCGGCCTCTGTGGGCAGTAAGTGCAGCTAGCCAAGCTCGTTTGGCAGCATCATTCATAGCCCTGCATATTTACAGCCATACTGGGCATTATTCTGTCTGTGACGTTCTTTGTGGCATGCGTTGGAATGTTTGCCGTTTCGCCGGCTCGAAGGCAACGCGTGCGTCGACTGTTCCGACGCAACAACTCGTCGGTGCGATATTCCACGGTAACATATTAAGCTTGTAAGAAATTGTATGAATTTTGTGCTATCAATGAATCCCATTGAAGGTGCAGTCGAGCGAGGAAGCTAATCTGCTGATGGAACCAAATGGCGAGTTCACGGAGAGCGACGACGATATGTTACTTTAGAAGGCTAAGCCGAGGGAATAGGCTGTGCTGATTGCTATAATTATTTAACCAAGTGAGAAAAAAATTAAAAAAAAACTATATAGTGAAAAAAAAAAGACATGTGAAGAAAGTTAAACACCAAAGACATAAAACGCAACTGATTGTGAACTAAAAACTGATTGTAGACACGTAGCGAATCGCAGCGAGGAGAGCTACTCATATACTTAATTATGTACAATACGTCTAAATGACAACGACAAAACAACAAATCCAAATTAACGGAACTATTAATGTCTAAATGATCTTATATATTTTATATACCTGCACTTAAAATATGTAAAGGCAAAGTCCCTGCAAAGTCCTTTAGCTCTATCCTTATATACCATTTAGTTTAATGCAGAGAATTGCATTGCTTTTTAACTCGTAAAGTATTTGTCCAAGCATTATTATTTGTAATTATGGGTGACTGAACTTATAGAAAACCTAACCAAAAGATCTTTACGTTGGAGTAAATTTTTGGCAATTTTTGGGTCAAGCATTAACAGAGTTTTCTGTTTTCCATTTTCGTTGACTTTTTGTATTTTTATGGTGTGATATGAGACTTGGCGGAATGTACTTAATGTTATGTTATTTTCAAAATATTTTTGTTTAATTAAGTTGACTGTGTAATTCCCTCAATTCATAAATACAAATGTAACTATATCTATATATGCTCTGTATAAATAAATTTGAAAAATATAAGCAAATTAAATACAAAACAAATGTTGTTTTGTATATACAAAAAATGGCGAAGATTTCTTTAGGGTACCTACCTAGGCTACCTAGCTAAGGTAAGACATATATCCGTAATATTGTTAAAATGCATGTATTGTTTAATTTTTAAAATATATTTTATTCAGTGTATTTGTATACTTGACAGACTCGGGTACACAAATACATTAAATGATGTACATAATATGTATGCATTCATTTTGTATAAGTAAATGAGTTTGTCTGCATTCAATTTGTAGGTACCTTAGGCAATACAGAGACATGACATAGCTACTTATGTATATGTTAATTTTCATTAATTCTAATTACAATATATTTAACATACGATTAATGCGAATTATGAACTCCTTACTAATTATGTCATTGAAATGCGGAAATGAAGAAATATGTATATGGGTCGGCTGGAAAAAGTGATGTACGATATATGAATGATCTAAATGTGTGATATGCCGTGTATGAAGGGCATTTGTGAGTAAATAGCTTAATGAATAATGAATATGCTTTTTTTATACGTATTTATAAATATTTTGAGTGAGAGTTTTGCTGGAACATAAAAACTTTTCCATTTGCTTTATGTACAATCTTAATTTGTTTCTGTGTGCTTTCAATGGACAACTCAGTTAGATATGTAAGCAGCCAAAGTGGGACAATGGATATATATATATATATATATATATATATACATATATATCTGTATATATATTATGAGTTGTTGTTATTGTTGCGGTATTTTGATTTGTATTTTGTGTTGGGTTATTCTTTGTGGTTTTTTTTAAATTACATTCAGTACACGGCATAGTTTATATGCTACTATTTGGATACGTCATATGTATGTATGTGCATTAATCGATAGCTTATTACAAATTATTCAGATTGTACAGGAAACTAAAGCTCAGTTTGATCAAATATTAAGTAAAACTTGAGATTCGTGCAAACAAAATAATTGCCTAAATCTGCAAAATAAAAAAAATTAAATTATTTCAATTGCGAGTTTTCTGCAACTTTTACATGCGTTCAACTTAAGCATAACATTTACAATATCATAGCTATATAATGTACAAAATAATTGGGTCTTAGTGAGTTTAACCTACACTTACATAACTCTAAACAGAATGATAAGCTCTCGAATAGCTTACGCTTTTTCAACTATCCAAAATGTAATTTTGTTTTCCCTCTTTTCGTTTTTACGAAATTTTTCCATTTCTCTTTTTTGTTTATGTCAACAAAGGCCACAGGAAGTATTGAAAATTGAAAATTTTCACCAATTTTGTGCATTGGATTTACCAGCAGCGGATGCAATATTTTCTCTTTTGTTTTTTAGATTCTACAGAATTTAACTAGACCAAAACACAGACACAGATGCAAACACACACACGCGCACATGCATACACACACACACGCACACACGCACACACACATACACACGGCTAGAGAAATCAATTTGAGTGCAATTTCAGTTGGCTACAAGAATGCCGTTGTCTAGGCATTTGGTTTTGTCATTTATACATTCAGCTGATCGGAATCGGAATTGGTCATAGCGTAAGGATTGAATGCCTCAGTGAAACAGGAGCTCCTCCTCGTCGGGCTCCACATTGCGCCATTTCTATACGTCGCTCTGCTTGGCATTTGTGTTGATGATGAAGGCGCCATTGATGTGGCCGTTGCCATGGTGTGCCTTGCCGTTCGGCGCATACAGATTCGTCAGACCATTCTTGCCATTGGCAATCATGATGGCTGTGTGGGGGGTGCCGCCATTCAGCTGTGCGACCAGCGGATTTTTGGTCGTTTCGCCGGGCGGCGTT